CTATCCAACTATCCACCTGAAACCAAATGACATGAAATTGAACAACTATAGGTCATCGTACGGCCTTCAACAATGAGCACAACATTTTGCCCATAGTAACCCATAAAAGACCCCGAAATGACAAATGTAAAACAATTCAAATAAACGAACTTAACGGCCTGATTTATATACAAAACAATGCCCAAAAAAACATGTACAGCAACAGACTACAACCACTGAATTAAAAGCTCCTGATTCGATGTTAGGGTGTATATACCTTTGGTATTGTTATAGATGGTGCTTTGAAGGGATCCTTGGAACGTAAGTAGCTTTCCATTTTTCTTAAAATGGTACACTACAAAATATAATTAAAAACATTCCTGTTATTAATTATGTACATAACAGTTTATAAATTTGCTGCGTCCAAAGCGCTTCTCTCGACATACATCACACTACTGACTACTGTGTTGTAGATACCCTCGGGACGCAAATATAAGTGTTTCGAAAATTTAAAAGTGTATAAACAGTTTACAGAAAATAAACGTACCAATGATATAATCTGTCAACACAATAACTTTTTACTGTTACTTACTGTGCTAGTGACACGCTCAAAACGTTTTTGCAGAAGTTTCATCAGACAAATGATTTCAAAAATTTACCAAAGATAGCTGGCTCAGACTTAAGTACGCGACACGCACGTTTCGTTTAAATATAGAATCAGCACTAGGACTGGAATAAAGCAATTGGAAATCCAAAAAAGATACCAAGTTGAAGAGCATAAAAAATAGAAGATCGTAAGGGTTTTTTTTTTATTGTTTAAATATGATGATTGTGATGATTTATTAGAAAGTGCCTGCAACTAGAATTCCATTTTCTGTAAAACATATTTTATATGAAGTCAGAGGTTGTTTATTACAAACAGTACACAAATAATACAGTTTTTACTTTTGTCATAGCCATGTTTCTTAGACAACCTTCATAAGGAATACTTCTGATGTGTGCAGATTGTACGTTTAGAATTCAATTTTGTTTCTCTAATTTTCACTATGGAAACATATGTAATTTTTTTTTGTGTACATCCTCATGCTCTTTTTTTCCATTAAACCGCCTAGTTGAAGCGTGCTTTAAACGAGTGCGGGATGTATTCGAATCGACCCCCGTCCCAGAACCAGAATATTGTGTCCGGATAGGGTAAGATATCTTATTACGGGTTAATTCATTGTGAACTAGCATGTTTGAACTCGTTTCAGCGTGTCGGACGTAAACAAAGAGTTCTTTGTCACGTCATTGTTCTTTATCTTTCTCTGAAAATGTTTGTTTTGTAATAGCTACCACTGAAAGCTAAAAACCAATGTCTCACCATCATCAATGTAATCAAAGCAGACAGATTTTTACTATGTTAAGTGGTATACTATAGTAATTACACTTGAAAACATTGCATATTGAAGAACTTTGTTAAAATTTAACATCTGTTTAAAACCTCCATTTGTTTGCTTCACAATATATTATTGACAAAATGAATAAAACAAATGTATAGGGTATGCATACTTTTTATTTCTCCATTTATATGTTTCGGAGGTAAGTGTGGCGTCCATTTTCTCTGAACCAATATACATTTTTGTTGAGGGCCAGTTAAAGCCCGCTTCCGGGTGCGGGATTTTCCCGCCGTGTTGAAGACCCATTGGTGGCCTAGAGCTGTGTTTTTGCTGTTTGGTCGGGTTGTTTTGTCTTTGACACATTCCCCTTTTCAATTCTCAATTTTCTTTTTTTTTATATTATTTTTTTTAAGTTGACTGTTTTTATTTTAATACATGTTATGTATTCGTCTATTTTCATTGAAATTCCAAATGGTCTCTCATATTTCCTATCTCTTTTTAAAAATGTATTGTTTATTGTTTCCTTTTTTTCTTACAAATCCTGGGAAACGTACTTTTGTTTCTTTCCATAAAGTAATATATAAAAGCAATGTCGTCGCTGGGACAAATTATAATTGTATTTATAGATAGGAAGTCAAATTCGTAAAATCAAACGAAAACATCAGTAATTGTAATTCTTGTTCAAGTTGTATGTAAGTCTTCCGTGATCTTTCATCTCTTGACCTATTTCAGTGTCCTCTTATTTCCTAAGTATGAATTATATTGCTGATTGTTTTTTTCCGATTTCGTTTAAAGTATTTAAATTAACGTCTAATTTACCATAAAGGCTTCTGCAATTAATGCACCTATTCAAAACCTTTTACATGTTTTATGTTGGACTACAGATGTGTGGCCATTCGGTTTTCTTTAATAATATTAACATTTTAATATCACCTTGTTAAAGTAATAAAAACAGTATTACTTTATTAAATTTGCTACATTATAATTATTCAATAAACACAAAATTGTCTTTACAATTTCGCACCACGAATACAAATAGCCAAAAAACAACGTGTTGTCAAAAGCTGACAATGTACCAGCACATAAACAGTTGAAGCGATAAAAAGTACATAGCTAACAATTTTTAATACTGAAACGGTCATTATAAGTATCCCAACAATGGCTGAACTTGTGATGTATTATACATTCTGTTATTAAAATGGGTATTTGAAATCTTTACTTTTGCACTTTCATTTAACAGGGTCTGTTGATAAGTCTGTTGATGAGTTTATTTTGATATGTAGTCTCTGTCAAACATGGTCAGTTGAGAGTAACAGTTGCGAAGACTGTCAATTATTTTCAACTTAAACAGAAAACTCTTTTGAAAAGAATGAATAGTTCATTATACATATTAATTTTTGAAACACACTCTGCTTCTAATTTCAATTTGTGCTGCATAAATACATTAAGAGAAACTATTACACAAAAAGATAACTCTTCTGTTTTTTTTTTAATATGATGATTTTCAAAAAAGTAAAATTTAATGTAAATGAGAACTCTGAAATAATGTTTCCAAACTGCAATGTGCCTTAGACACACTTGTCTAGAAAAGGTTGAAAGCACCCGATCGAATCACACATATATTATTAACAGTCATTCTATAGATCAAGATCCACAATATATATTGTATATCATGTAAGTGATATCATCTAATGTTTTTGCACAGTTACATGGTTTGAGAACGTATTATGATACTATCAATGCTGACAAGTTTAGGTGCTTAGGTGTTTAGAGTAATCAATATTCTTATCAAAAACACATTTTTGAGTAATTTTTCTTATATTTTACCATTTTATTGCAAATTTCATTTGCATGGGGTGTGAAGTTTAGTGTCAAAACATAATGTTGGCATGTATAAACACATGAGTAGACAAAAACAGAGATAGAAATATTCCAATTTTGTCTTTTTAAAGCTGTATTGCAAGAAAATCTTCAATTTGAAAAGTTTAACAACTACACTTAAACAATCTGCTAACTTGAATAGTTTTCCGAGAAAAAAAGGAAGAGTAAAATGTTCTGATGATTTTCTTTTGCAAGTAAGAGTTTTTGCACAAGTTAATACCATCAATCGGATGCCCTGAAAAAGTGGCGATATCCAATAGCAATGAACGTTACAAACAATGCTACAGTACAATTTACGATTAATGTACGAGTCTGCAAGGCTGAAGATTATTGAGGCGCTTCGCTTGATGCAAAATACCAATGCTTATATATATATATATATACTAATACTCCGTCAGGTAAAATTGACCGAGTACTGTTTTGGTTGTATTTTCTAGTTTCCTTTTGTTTACACCTCCCACCTCCTTTGAAAAAAAATAGAGAAACACAAATATCAAACAAACAAATACAAAACAAAAGTATAAAAAAAAACAAAAAAAAACCAAACTACCCAAACACAAGTAACGATGTTACCTTATATAAGTATTTGTCTATTTTTTGGCAATTTAACCCTTAGAATAAAATAAAACATGAAGATAGTTGTTGTACTTTGAAAATATTGCTGGTGTGCAAAAGTTCTACACGTTTCCCTCTTTGTCATGCAATTATGGTATTGGCTCTGCTAGTATTTAAATTTTTCTTTGGATTCCGAACGTTTGGATATGATTGTGTCTGATAAGTAGAGCAATCGGAAAGGAAAAATGGGAGTTTCAGTGATTATTAATGTAGCGAATAATCGATGAAAGTACACATAAGACTACTTTTCTGGAAATAATCATGTAAGCTGTTAACTTAGATTCAGTATATAAATTGAGAATGAATTCATGTTATTCAACTGTATGAGATAATAATTTGAAGATATATGTACCTTGTATGTGTTAGACTTTAATGTAATAAAAAAGAAAATATGGAGGTAAAAAAAACAAACATCTAGAGGTAACAAGTAAGTTTAATTATATTTACAAACAAGTATCTCATGCAATACAAATATGTAGTAAATGAAAAAAAAAACACTTTATTAATTTCGTGCAATCGCAGGAAACGTTTTTCTAGATTAACCTTCATCAGGAACCCTAAACCTAAACATTTGTGAAATGAAATTTGCCGATGCTTAAAAACAAAAAATGACAAAACACTCATGTACCACATTACCAATAAATAAGTTAAGTAATACAAATAACACAATGAGCTAAAATAACTTTGAAATAATAGAATAATTATTTGAGCTATAAAGAGCCTCTTCAACATAGGAAGATTACGGACAAATATTCTGCTATTATTTGTTCTAAGAAAAGTCGTTGCGTGTTTACACAAAAGATTTATGATTAATTTCATCGTGTTTTCGGTTTTTTAGAGATAAGAGGCTTCAGTCGATTACTGCTGTTCGACACTCGTCAATCCAGGATACCCGAAAAATTAAAAATTATAAATTTGAGAAATCTTTTTTAAATTCATGTGACCTTATAAAAATTGGAATCTTCGTCTCACATCTGTATTCAATATCACACGATACACTATTGTCCGTAAGAAAATTGTGTTCAGAGATGGTATTTAGTATCTCACTAAAGGTTTTGCAATTTTCCTATATTTCTGTCATTTGGTGGCTGCATCACCTGTAAGAATTAAATATATGAAGCAATAATAACTTTGTTGTATTGCAAAAAATTGATTCAAACTAAAATTTTCCAATAAAGATTTGTTTTTATATATATGATTTCAGTGGCATCTTTGCAAAAAACATATAATCGTACTTCTCACATGTCCCAAGAGAAGACATAAGGAGATTGATTATTTATAGAAAGTGACACAATATATCTAATTGTAGATTCCAATCATAATGCAAACTAATTATTGCAGTAATCAAAAGCCTTTTTGAAATTTAGTTTTTTAATCATTGCGGATTTTAGAAAGTTAATTATTTACTTTTTTTAAAGAAATAGTGGAACTTTTTGTATACAATTTATTTAGATTAAATTTGATAAACAAGTAAATGTATATGAACTCTTTTCCTTGAGGGTTATTGATACATGCGATAAACTTAAATACATCAACACATTTGTATTTAGACAATCAGGTAGGTTTCTTTTCACTATACGTGCTAACATTTTGTGCATTTTAAGAAAATTGGAAATTAAAAAAAAAAAAAAAAAAACGCTATACGTACAGTTATCAAAAAAGAAAAGACTACCTAACACATTATGAGCTGTTGCTGTGAAATACAAATAATATGGGCTTTTGACACATGATGGACCATATTTTTCTTATAGATAAATGACAGGGATTAAATGACAAAATTAACACCATGACTAAAGATATGCTCGACAAACACATCACATACATGTATAATTGTGACATGTTAATACATAAAAGTAATTTGCATAGGTGGCATACTCTTCAAACTATTCAGTCAACCCGGACGAAGGTATGGGTTAGCCTTTTAATTATTGCAATACCTCTCAAAAAGTTGTAAACCTTTAATGCTAACACTATCAATAAAAGCAATAAATCAGGCATATACAAAGATAAAGACAGCTGCCTTTTCACTATAAGTGTTATGTATTAGGATAAATCGATATGGGCAAAACTACACTTTTAAACCAAATGAGTATGTTTTTTTTTCTTACTAATTTCATATTTTAATATAATTGTCCTATTATCAATTCTGAAATTGCCTACATTAATGTTATTACCCTCAAGTGCCTCGATGTTGATAACATCATTCAAATAATTGTGTTCATAATGGCCTAACCTCAATGGGAATAAAGCGCTAAGCTGGAGGTCATTTGCTTTCTTTTTTCCAATATTTAGTAGTTTTCTCCTCCTGAAAGTAAGAGTAAAATAAGTATTTGAAAATTGTAGGTTCCGTTGATCATATTCGCCTTATTTCATTTTAAAGTTACTTGTTGAAACATACATATCTATAAAATAACTAGTCCAAGAATTCAAACAGAAAAATATTCAACGAATGACCGAACAATACATTTAATTCACGAATGATCGTACCGCATGAGTTAATTACTTGTGTTGTTATGTCTCTAGATGAATATTTTTCGATATTTTAATTCTAAAGGAAAATACTCAAATCTTGTTCTTTTGAAAGAATTGTACTTGAACAAACATACGGACTTGTCTTTAGTTAAAGATCAGCAATCAATCTTTCTTTTTTATTGAGAAATTAGATATGTCCTAATAATCCATGAAATTGTGAAATTTGTGACTTATTATTCAGATAATATTTCTTTTGTCGATAGTATTATATTATAAAGGACCTACCGTAATTGACTTCTATTATAAAAACGAAATCCATATGCCATCAGCAGTACAAATGACAAACACACGATGACAGCAAGAACTGCAAACAAAATGAGACTAGAATAACACTCGTAATTCTGTTTTGATGCAGATATATGATGCACGACTTCAAAGGTAACTATTGAAAATTGAAATATTTGACAAGAAAGTCTTTCTTCGCGCTTTTCTGTCTGTAGATTTAATTTTAGATTTACCGGAAGTGTTTTAAATGATATATGTCTTAATGAAATGAAGCTAATGATCAAAGCGGGAAAGGATACTGTCTTCTGCGATTAATTAGCTAACAATGTATTCATCATATACACCAGACTAAGAATTACATTGATATCCCGGTACATGTACATATCCAAGCCAAGTTATTTATAGCTTTAAGGGTATTCTGACAATAAACATGAACAATGATATAATAACTCTTAAATGTTTTAGAACCAATTGAAATTAGTTGGAGAGCTGTAATAAGTGTACCTTGTTTCAATTCAAGGTATTCAAATATACAGGGAGAAAATACCATTGGAGCGATCAAAAACGACAGACAACAACAACATGGCAAAAAACAACAACGACAGGACAACACTCTACACAGTAAACAAACGATTGAGCAGTATGAACCCAATTAAAGAACTGAAACAGAAAATGAACTCATTGTTCTGACAATTGCATTTAAGTTTTAGTTGAATACAGGAAAAATTGGACATGCTGTTAGTATTTACAAACATTCAATTTTAAGTAAGTTATTTGTAGGTGAAAGATTATCAGTTATTTGTTTCTTTGCAATACCTGCGATTATGTCTATACATCAATCTTAAGTCAAACAGATAACAAACAAGTCTTACTTCATCCGTTTTTTTTTACCTTAGAACGACTTGCTATTCTTTTAAAAGCGATAATTCAAAATATATTTATTCAATTATAATAAAAAATAACAGTACTTGTAAATCCAACATGGGATGCTGCAACGATGCTTGTATCATCAGTGCTACTGCTTGTAGTGGTGAAGGTTGAACCATATTCTATAGTGAAATCAAAATGCCGAGCTGTCAATAAAAGATGAAAAATGGCCAATAATAATATGCACACAAAAAGTTTACCAACAAAGACATAGTGGTCAAAGTTCAAAAAATGTTATCTGCTTTAAGATGTCATCAAGAACACACTCTTCAATGTATCCTTTCCTAGGGCAAATAACCGATACAAAAACAGATCTAACAAGAACGCAGTTAACTTTCTTTGTACATCAAAAGTGCTGGTAAATTGATGGTAATTAAAGCATTATTGCAATTTTTTTTCTTTTCCTACGAAGTATAGTCAGCTCATGATCATTAATAAGTATTCTGATCTGATTTGGCATAAAACATGGTTGATGGATCTGGCTATTATATTCATGTATAACCTATAGCAAAATGTATAATGTCATTTGCATGTCATCTTGTTTTAAATAAATATCACAAAAAAAATCTATTATTATATTTTTTGTCTTCTGGTTTGTCTTCTGTTGTTTCGAAAAAAAAACAATACTTACTCCTTACTTCTATTGGTGTCGTTTCTTCATAAATATCTTGATTTTCCAAGGATGAATCTGCCACACAACGAATGATTGCTTGGTTATCTTCAGCAGTTACCTGGATTGTGAGATAACTTGTCCCAATGTATGTGCACATGTCCGGTCCCTTCATCGTTGTTGTAATTATATGCGTGTAATTCGTTGGCAGGTTTTCTCCATTCCGAAATTTTTTCCAGGAAAACCGACCTGGTGGTTTTCCAACATTTCCGGTACATATAGATGTAATGTTATCTCCTTCTGTTAAAATGTTTGGGGTAATGGAATTCTCAATAGTAGTTTTTTCGTGTTTCTCCGGAACGTTAGGATAGTTTAAACTTTTATGGTTAGTAGACGACGATCCAGTTGTTGTGTTGTGTGAATCTCGTGTCATACTGAACTCGGTGTTATTTATGCTACTATTCATTGATGAAGCATTTGTGGCAGGGATTATTTTACGTTGACTTTTTGTTGACCCTGTCATAAGAACTGTTGTTAAATGATCCCATAATTTTGCTGATGCAATATTATCAGGTTTAGAAGGTGGAACTGAAAATAAAAAGACAAATATTCACAAATTATTTTCTTTCGTTTTTGTTTTATTAAGAATTTTTTAATGCGATTACGTGTTTTCATTATTACATAGAACTTACTACCGTTAAAAACACATATGTTAATGCGAAGTTTTTTTTTAGTTTATGTTAGTCTTTCCTAATTTTTCTTTGTTTTGTTGGTACAATTTTATGGTATTACTTTGACCAAAACCTATGGTGGCACATAGATACATGTGTATCAGATAATTGATTGAGACGCAAGCATTTTGATAAAACGATGCGATAGTTATTTTCAGAATTACTATATCAACAAATATACATATGTGAAAGAAACTTATATATATACATATATAAATTGTTATTCAATTGATAGGGGAACGCAGTGGAATAGTTACCAGTCATAATCTTCATATCATTGCTTGACATTACTTTTTTATTGCATTCACACTACGCAAATCCTCGTTTGGTCTGTTGTGAGTGTGCATGGAGTCAATTCGCTATCAAACGCAATGACACTATACTGTTACTATTGTATGCATTGTAATTCCTAAACAACCACAACAAAGTAATTTCTATGCAAACAATCTATTATTTCCGGGGTATTATCTTCTAGTGCTGAACCATTTTTTAATTAACATTAAGAAAGTCCCCTTAGGGTTTATCTTTACTCTAGTATGACCGAATTAATTTGATTACGTATAAATGAAATTATTTGTTGCTCCATTGTGGGTTAAACATTCACTCATGCAAGGATAGAAATTTTAGAATGGGCTGGGGTTTGCTCATCAAGGAATAAAATGTTATGTAAAGATATTTTAAATTTGTTTTCTAAGAATCAAACAAATATTTGATTTGATTTGTTTTATTATATTGTTTGTAATTTCATTAAGCATTGATGTAACTACCATAACTTACGAATTCAATGGTATACTTTCCCTCGCATTTATTAAATGATTTTACATTTAACAACAAAGCTTACAAGTCCTGAGTTAATTATTTCTGTTTTACTATTCACGTCTTGGTAAATAACTGAACAGCTGTAGCTTCTTTCATTATTTTATTTTTCTAATTCATCATGTCTAATCAAAACAATATGCCAATCTTAAAATAACTGGTTCGCATTTATCACATTCTGCCACTATAATAAATGTGATTTGCAATGTTAAAATCTGTCAACTTTTATAAACATTTTGGTTTAGAATACGCTTTTCCGCGACAAGACACACTTAAATTATTACCTTCTGAAAACCGATATTTTAAGCTCATTTAAACCGATGACATTGTTCTAGTAATTGAACCTATCAATATAAACTTGTGATAAAAATGTTCAATGAAGATGACATATGCTACGCTAGACGCTTAACTTCAGATTGCTTAATAAATTCAACAGTAATAATTTCTACGATATAAAACATGGGCATTTATTGCTCGAATGTGACCTACCGAATTATACTTATTACCGGATCTGTACTAACATGAGCAACACGACGGGTGTCACATGTGTAGCAGGATCTGCTTACCCTTCCGGAGCACCTGAGATCACCCCCAGTTTTTGGTAGGGTGTTGCTCAGTCTTTAGTTTTCTATGTTATGTTTTGTGTACTATTTTTTGTCTGTTGGTCTTTTTCTTTTTTAGCCATGGCGTTGTCAGTTTATTTTCGGCTTATGAGTTTGAATGTCCTTCTGGTATCTTTTGCCTCTCTTTTTTGCTCCTGTTGCAACACGAATTTAAATGATTATCTGAATTCATTTAGTGAATTTATAGAACACAGTCATATACGTATACTTGTAACGTTTGGATTTAGATAATCAAATTGAAGCTTCATAAACTGACTTTGTCCAAATCCCTTTTCAAAATAAAGATTATATCGCGCTTGATGGTTTATTAAAAACAGGGCAGTAATTATGCTTTCTACAGATACTGTAAGTAAAAATAATGTAACAAAACACCATAGTTACAAACAAGCATATAATAGTATGTTTCCTCTTTTATTTACAAAACCTGAGTACGTTTTACAAAAAATTATGTGACCACAAAAAGATAAAATAACTTAAAAAATTCAATAATCATTAAAAAGTGATAACTATCAATTTACCAACTTTAAGGCTTTATATTATTTGTTATCAATAAACATAATAAGAAAGCATTATGAATCAACGAACGAAGATATGTCTTAAATGTAAACAAGAATGTAACTTATAGGAAACAGAACACCAAATAACTATCTAAAGGTAGAAAGTAAAATAAACAAAAATACCAAACTCCAAGGGAAATTCAAAACGGAAAGTCCTTTATCAATGTGGCAAAATCAAAAGCTCAAACACACGAAACAAATGGAAAACAACTGTCATATTCCTGAATTGGTACATGTACTTCCTTAAGTACAAAAAGGCTGGTTTTATAGATAGCTAAACCTCTCACTTGCATGACAGGCAGGTTTCATTAAACGTACAAAACTTCATCATATGTTATACATAATTTATGGAAAAACATTAAAACATAAATGAAATAATCATAAGAATGGACAAAAATTAGTCTTTTACTCCTTGATCATGTTGATTATAGATAAATGAATGCAATATCAATGTAAAGCATCCATTTTCTTTAGTAGCAAATTGAAACCGTAACTCGACTGACACAGTTTGAACTTACGAACATCGAAAGGTAATTAAAAAAATGTACCCCAAAAATAAAATGCTTCATAATACATGTGTATTTGAACATATCAAATAACAAGAATACCTTTATCATTAACATTCATAACTTCTTATTTACAAAACAGTATCACTTAGAAAAAAAATCATAAGCACTCAATAGTCAATTTATGGTACGAATTTACTGCACCAATTACCAATTATGACGTATGATTCAACGTACTTTGTAGTATCAAATATGTTTTTAATTCTCTTAACTTGAAAATGTCTTCAATTAAAAACGCCTTTGTTACGATATTGGCCTGTGTTCATGAACTACTTAAACCTATGAAAAAAATCATGTGATTTTGTCAAAACGTTATGTTTAAAAATTTAGTACACTCTGTAAATACTTGACTATATCATCTACAGAAAAAACATGTGACTTTGCAATTTGATACTAGAAACTATTTTTGTCAGTGCATCATGATTAAGGTCATATATCAACTTTTACTCATTATTTGTTACAAGCGTAAAGTGCCTTAAAACATTCAAATAATTATGTATACAATTTGATATTTTCCGGAAATGATATGGATTGAAACAAAGTATTGACAAAGTGTCTTATGAAGATGCACTTTGGTGATAATCATAATTGTGAAATAATATAACATAAAAAGAATGTCCAAAATCATCCGTAAATGAAAAATATAAATATGCAATTCTTATATACAGTTGATTTATGTCCGTCTAATTTTTTAACGATTGTCTGTAGATTCCCCTAAAACGCTGATTTCAATAAATGTATTCCACTTTTCACGATAAATAACAATTAATTTAGAAGCAACAGTAGGTTACCAATGCTTACATTTCATAAATCCACAAAGGGATACTGTTCGTTTTTTGATACAAAGTAAAACAAAAGCTGACGGAATCGCATACCCCCCCCCCCCTCAAAAAAAAGGGATCGATGCCGAGTGTGTCCACATGGTAAGCGAAAGCACCTTCAGACAAACTGTCACAATCAGGAATAGGACAAAAGCGATCAATTAACAGACCACACGGCTATTCTGTTATTTAATCGTCTAAAACCGTGACTACGTTGCTAGTTAGTTTAGACACAGGCACATCGTAACGATTGGTATTTGTTTGGCATTTAATTGAGTAGTAGAAAGGTGGCATTAAACGATCTAACCAAATTTATACCAATATTTTCATACTATTTCTAATAAAATATACCAAAAACTCAACTCACTCTAAAATATATGCCAGTGGAAATTTACCAGAAAACAATAAAAATTTCATACTTCACAAAATTATGACAACACAGATATACACATATTTTCACAATATATTTACATATCTTTTTGTGGGCTGTGTCAAGTTTGTCAAGACAATTCGACGATATCGGCGCCGTATTAAAGATTTTCTTTTTTAATCTGCCCGTCATAGCAACCCTGTTGTCAAGTATCCCACACACTCTCTGGATGGCGCATCTGTCGTTGTACAAAATGGAGATGTAAAAATATACAGGTATGCCTTTAAAATTATCTACGAATCGATCGTTTCTTTGTTGACATTCTGTGCTTTATCACTGAGGTTCTGTTTGTTTATTCTCTCTGTGGACTGGTCGTTAATTTCTTTTTGTTCATCTTGAGATTGCTTTCCCTTTTGAATAGAAATTGTTTAGGTCTGCGTATTGTTTAAATATTGTGTTTTTCCTGCTTCATTCACCTGAGCATATACTGCATGTTGGGTAGGAGAATTTCTGCGAAACCTAAATAGACGTAGAAATTTGTTTATCGTTATTGTTATTTTGTTATTTAAGTTTCAATCAAGGAAACAGACTAATACATTCAACTATTACATGAACATCATACTTAAATAATCAACGGGTTTATCCACTATTCCGATAACGAATGTTATCATATTCTAATGCTTAATACTGGTTACGTTTTGTTAATAAAGAGCAGTCTGTTTTGTCGGCAGAGACATCGGGTTTACTAGTTAGGTCAATACGACCACCTGCTCATTATTGTGTGATGTGACTGAATGTACCAAATTTATTGGGTTTTTTAATGTACACATTTGTTATCAAATAAATCGAAGTTAACATTTGGAAGTTTTAGAACACTAACTCGAGTAACTCCCCCAATTTGTATGCCTGTCACAAGCCAGGAACCGTGTTTATAGTTATATTTAGTAAAATATCAATGCTTTTATTCTTCTGAGAATTTGATGAAATAGGAAAAACATTCATAATCTCTTTTAAATAATCAAATTTAATTTAGAGCTGGTATAGACAATTTCTGTTGTTAAATACAGGACATGAAAACATGTCAGGATATACATAGATTGACACAGTGTTTGGTTAATTTCTAAAAGTGTTACGTCAAGTACCAAATATTACATCCCCATTAAGGACAAGTGCTATATAACCACAGTCCAGCCACGCAATTGCTTAAAAGGGGTTGAACCTAATGGTCGAAAAATTTCAAAGCCATTAGCAATAAGATCATTGCTAATATGTAAGAGGATTGACATTGAATCAATATCGATTGACGTTTAGTCAAAGAAACTAGACCTACATTCTTTATTACACAACTACAATATATAGCCCTTATCAATTGCAAATCCTTTATATCCTAGTGGCTCATGTATCTTGAGAATGACTGCCATTCATTTGGTAATCAGGTATTAGGAGATTGCCCCGTCAAATATGGTTACTTATAAAAGAGGTCATGCTTCGTCTTTAAAAAAACATGTTTCTAATACATACGTGGATAATTTATTTTTATCATCTTTTTCCTGTGTTTCTATGTATACCATGTTCTGCTTTTTAATGTCATCAATGTCAACCGTTGATGTCTCTTTTCCAGTATCATTTTTTTCATAACTGCCTGTCAAAGAAATTGGTTTTAATTGGACTGTTTGATTTAACTGGCTGGAATTAGATTTTTCTTTAACGACATGATATCGACTTTTTTTCCTGAAACGAAATTCAACACATAATAATTTACTTTAATTTAAGCATAAGTACTTTTCTGATTTTCAAATCTCATCAATCAATTAAGGTAATGCAAATAAAGGTAACAAACATAAACTGATAGAATGGCACAAACTCCCAAAGGATATAGACCGATTGGGTCTACAGGGTGAGATTGAATGGCACGAACTCCCAAAGGATATAGACCGATTGGGTCTACAGGGTAAGATTGAATGGCAAGAACTCCCAAAGGATATAGACCGATTGGGTCTACAGCGTAAAATTGAATGGAACGAACTCCCAAAGGATATCGACCGATTGGGTCTACAGCGTAAGATTGAATGGCAAGAACTCCCAAAGGATATAGACCGATTGGGTCTACAGGGTGAGATTGAATGGCACGAACTCCCAAAGGATATAGACCGATTGGGTCTACAGGGTAAGATTGAATGGCAAGAACTCCCAAAGGATATAGGCCGATTGGGTCTACAGGGTAAGATTGAATGGCAAGAACTCCCAAGGGATATAGACCGATTGGGTATACAGGGTAAGATTGAATGGCAAGAACTCCCAAAGGATATAGACCGATTGGGTCTACAGGGAAAGATTGAATGGCACGAACTCCCAAAGAATATAGACCGATTGGGTCTAGAGGGTACGATTGAATGTCAAGAACTCTTAAAAGATATGGGCCGATTGGGTATACAGGGTAAGATTGAATGGCAAGAACTCCCAAAGGATATAGACCGATTGGGTATACAGGGTAAGATTGAATGGCACGAACTCCCAAAGGATATAGACCGATTGGGTCTACAGGGAAAGATTGAATGGCACGAACTCCCAAAGAATATAGACCGATTGGGTCTACAGGGTAAGATTGAATGGCAAGAACTCCCAAAAGATATAGACCGATTGGGTCTACAGGGTAAGATTGAATGGCAAGAACTCCCAAAGGATATAGACCGATTGGGTCTACAGGGTAAGATTGAATGTCAAGAACTCAATAAGGATATAGACCGATTGGGTATACAGGGTAAGATTGAATGGCAAGAACTCCCAAAGGATATAGACCGATTGGGTATACAGGGTAATGTTGAATGGCAAGAACTCCCAAAGGATATAGGCCGATTGGGCCTACAGGGTAAGATTGAATGTCAAGAACTCCCAAAGGATATAGACCGATTGGGTATATAGGGTAAGATTGAATGGCAAGAACTCCCAAAGGATATAGACTGATTGGGTATACAGGGTAAGATTGAATGGCAAAAACTCCCAAAGGATATAGGCCGAATGGGTCTACAGGGTAAGATTGAATGGCAAGAACTCCCGAAGGATATAGACCGATTGGGTATACAGGGTAAGATTGAATGGCACGAACTCCCAAAGGATATAGACCGATTGGGTCTACAGGGTAAGATTGAATGGCAAGAACTTCCAAAGGATATAGACCGATTGGGTATACAGGGTAAGATTGAATGGCACGAACTCCCAAAGGATATAAGCCGATTGGGTCTACAGGGTAAGATTGAATGGCAAGAACTCCCAAAGGATATAGACCGATTGGGTATACAGGGTAAGATTGAATGGCACGAATTCCCAAAGGATATAGACCGATTGGGTCTACAGGGAAAGATTGAATGGCTCGAACTCCCAAAGGATATAGACCGATTGGGTCTACAGGGTAAGATTGAATGTCAAAAACTCCCAAAAGATATGGGCCGATTGGGTCTACAGGGTAAGATTGAATGGCAAGAACTCCCAAAGGATATAGGCCGATTGTGTCTACAGGGTAAGATTGAATGGCAAGAACTCCCAAAGGATATAGGCCGATTGTGTCTACAGGGTAAGATTGAATGGCAAGAACTCCCAAAGGATATAGACCGATTGGGTCTACAGGGTAAGATTGAATGGCAAGAACTCCCAAAGAATATAGACCGATTGGGTCTACAGGGTAAGATTGAATGGCACGAACTCCCAAAGGATATAGACTGATTGGGTCTACAGGGAAAGATTGAATGGCACGAACTCTCAAAAGATATAGACCGATTGGGTCTACAGGGTAAGATTGAATGTCAAGAACTCCCAAAAGATATGGGCCGATTGGGTCTAGAGGGTACGATTGAATGTCAAGAACTCTTAAAAGATATGGGCCGATTGGGTATACAGGGTAAGATTGAATGGCAAGAACTCCCAAAGGATATAGACCGATTGGGTATACAGGGTAAGATTGAATGGCACGAACTCCCAAAGGATATAGACCGATTGGGTCTACAGGGAAAGATTGAATGGCACGAACTCCCAAAGAATATAGACCGATTGGGTCTACAGGGTAAGATTGAATGGCAAGAACTCCTAAAAGATATAGACCGATTGGGTATACAGGGTAAGATTGAATGGCAAGAACTCCCAAAGGATATAGACCGATTAGGTCTACAGGGTAAGATTGAATGTCAAGAACTCCCAAAGGATATAGACCGATTGGGTATACAGGGTAAGATTGAATGGCAAGAACTCCCAAAGGATATAGACCGATTGGGTATACAGGGTAATGTTGAATGGCAAGAACTCCCAAAGGATATAGGCCGATTGGGCCTACAGGGTAAGATTGAATGTCAAGAACTCCCAAAGGATATAGACCGATTGGGTATACAGGGTAAGATTGAATGGCAAGAACTCCCAAAGGATATAGACTGATTGGGTATACAGGGTAAGATTGAATGGCAAAAACTCCCAAAGGATATAGGCCGAATGGGTCTACAGGGTAAGATTGAATGGCAAGAACTCCCGAAGGATATAGACCGATTGGGTATACAGGGTAAGATTGAATGGCACGAACTCCCAAAGGATATAGACCGATTGGGTCTACAGGGTAAGATTGAATGGTAAGAACTCCCAAAGGATATAGACCGATTGGGTATACAGGGTAAGATTGAATGGCACGAACTCCCAAAGGATATAAACCGATTGGGTCTACAGGGTAAGATTGAATGGCAAGAACTCCCAAAGGATATAGACCGATTGGGTATACAGGGTAAGATTGAATGGCACGAATTCCCAAAGGATATAGACCGATTGGGTCTACAGGGAAAGATTGAACGGCACGAACTCCCAAAGGATATAGACCGATGTGGTCTACAGGGTAAGATTGAATGTCAAAAACTCCCAAAAGATATGGGCCGATTGGGTCTACAGGGTAAGATTGAATGGCAAGAACACCCAAAGGATATAGACCGATTGGGTCTACAGGGTGAGATTGAATGGCACGAACTCTCAAAGGATATTGACCGATTTGGTCTACAGGGTAAGCGTCTCCTGCTTTGCAGGAATCATCCACTATGTAAATCCATACTCCGTCAAAATGTCAAAATCGTGAAAAAAACATAGTCGGTAAAAATACATTTTGGACAACTGTTATGACATATAAAAGTCTTATACCGTAAACACATATTGTTAGTGAGTTGAGACACAGACACATCGATTTAAACGCCATACAACGGGGCAGAGGAAAAATGACTGCTGAGAAATGAACAGTTGACTATTAGAAAAATAAATTCGTAACGTTTGTCAACGACTCTAATTTAACGTCACCAATCTGTGTTAATATTGATTAAAATCAATCAAGATATGAGGCTGACCTTCTAGTTTCTGTTGTATCCGTAATCTCAAGATTATTGGGATATATGAGATGCAAGCATTCACTGAGAGTGCAATTAAATAACTTTACAAAAGATTTTTCTTTTTTTTCTTTGAAAAGGTTTTGTATAAGTTTGATTCATATGTGAATTAAACAAGTCGGCCAGTAGGGTCCACAATAAGTAAACATTGGGGGTACCGACAGTCTGTTGACATCAGTTCACAGAACTTAAAATTTGTTGTCGAAAAATCAAAACTTGCAAAAGGAAATTAACATTTTATTAACCATTTTTATCTTTATTGATCAAAAGCCTTTTATGTGATGATGTATTTGGCTCACAAAATTATTTATACTTGTTTGATAAATTATTTAATGTTGCTCTTCCAAGCTGTTTCGTTTTTAAATGTTTTATTCTCTACAAGTATCAGTTTAAAATATAATCCATAATATGAAAAATTTAGTGAAATAACTTACTTTTTTCCCTTTCGTTTGTATAAACAAATTACAATAATCAATAAAAGCAAGACTGCTATACCAACAACTACACAAATACCTGCGAAAAGAGACAAAAATCATATATAACTCCTAAGATCTAGAGAAAGGCTGTTTTAACATGTTTAAAGGGTTACAAAATATCATATTATTTAATTGTAAATCCATCGTTTATGTAATAATGTTAAAACACAAACATGATAAATTATATATTACCTATGTATCCACTGGCACTGTGCACTTTTGGTTGATCGGTTGAAACTATAACAGTATTGCCTATCATAGTACCTGACGTTGTTCGTCTAGTTTCCATCGTAGTATCCAAATCAGGAGCTGTTAAAATTAGACAAATTTGATTCATTGATGAACACTAAAAATTGTGCGGAAAATACGTCATGCATACTCAGAACACAATGTAAAGCAACATGAGTTTACTCCGATGTGTACTATACCGACACATTGAATCGGATTATCAAAGAACTAGCAGGTAGTCAGTAGAGGATGCCATCTATCCTACCTGCATACATTAATCAAGCTGAATAATTGCTCTAATTTATAAATGCTGCTCTCAAAATGAAAAGCAGACAGCCTAAATTGATTTATTTAAGTTGATTTTGTTGAGACAGATACATAAGTATTTCTTAACTGATGTGTTATGTTACGTGTGTTTATTTCTCTTAGTGTATGTTTTCTATAGATAAAATTGCTTTGAACATCAAATGAGAAAAATGTCTAACGACACTTACGAGTTTTATGAAGGTAAAACGCGCGTTTGGCGTACCACATTATAATATTGTATAAGTCTGGTATCTTTAGTGAATTTTTTAAAGGTGCAATGCGGAAATATCAATATCTACAGTACCTACCAGAATTTGGTAAAAGAACAAAAGGTACGTATATCGTTCCATGTGTTGCAAGTTAATCATAAATTATCTTTATTATGACTAATTTCAACGTAAAATGTATGAAATGGATTAATGACATTTGAACGCAACTGATGAGTCTGATGAAGATGAAACCCGCGTCTGGTGAACCAAATTATAAGTTTGGTGTCTTTGACGCTGATTTTGTTACATTTGAAAATTAAGGGATAGCTTCTCTTCTAACATAAAACTGCAAGAAATTCCTCATCGAACTATACGTATATTTTGAGTTTTTTCTGTTGTGTACAAAATGATTGTTTTATTATTAACATTATTCTGTCAACAAATAAAGAAAAAAATGCTTCTACTATTAAATTATTTTGTCTTCTATGACTTTTTTCCAGTACGTGACTTTTATGTCATTAAAAGTTGAAAATTTCAATTGCAATCTTTTTTCACTTTTTTTTTCCAATTAGTAGTGTAATAAGAAATTAGACAAATTCTTACACTGAACTTCCATTGGTATAGTTTCTATATACATATTTGGATGTGCCAATGGTGAATTTACTGTGCATCGAATGATGGCCTTGTTATCCTCAGCAGTTACCTGGATTGTCAAGGTACTTGACCCATTGTAGGAGCACATATCAGATACCTCCTGTATAGTTGTAGTAATATCTGTGTAATCTATTGGATTTTCGTCATGCTTGTTTTTTTGCCAGATGAATTTTCCTGGTGGATTTCCAACATTTCCAGTACAAAGAAATGTAATATTATCTCCTTTCTTTAAGATTGTGGAGGTAATTGATGGTTCATCATTGGAATGTTCATCATTCGTTGTTCGCCTGTTCGAAATGATCTGGCTAAGAGTTGTTTTAAATTTATTGTGTCCTACAGTAAAATGAGGGGAATTCGTATTTTCTATCGTTATCGGTGTTGTTGCATCGTCTTCTAATGAATTAACCATAGTTATGAGATAGGGGTTGGAAGGTGGAACTGCAAAAATATTTTTGAAAAGATTAGCTTAATTTAGGACAGCAGATGTCAAACACTGAAACAGTTGTTTTAATATAAACTTTTTATATAGTTCGCAACAATTATTCACATGTTCATGTAATATAAAATAATATACGAAAACAATGTACCTGTCAAAATTGTTTACTAGTTGAGTGTACCCTTCAATCTGTGTTTATTCAACTGAAAACTCCTTTGCCATTAATTGATAGTGCGGGGTTTTTTTAACAAATAAAACATAAGATCAGAAAATTAAGTTTTTGTATCTTTTTTGCCGTATCAAAAAAGCAATACAGCTATTTCATATATTCCTTTCTATTAAAACTCAATATAAATCAACCATGACTAATATTTGCTTATAGTTTTCATATAAAATTTTGTGTATCATAGACAAACATGAACCAGTAAATTTGTTAAGAAAGCCAATATTTTGTCTTATTTTGTGAATATATGAATAGCATGTTTTGATTCTTTATAATGTTTTTGATATTTGTTCGATATTTTTTTTATTTTCTTTTATAATTTTGTAAGCTTTCCTTATGTACGTCTACATTATTGTTACCTTTAACGAAAAGAGATGTGAATCCTGAATTCCTTCTTTCTGTTTTGCTGTTTTGGTCAAGATAAACAACGGAACAACTGTAGTTAATTTGATCAATGCAGGTGAGATTATTAAATGTCAAAACAGCTTCTGCAGACACTTTACTTATATTCATCAGTGTTACTCTTCCTTCCAAATACAGTCCTTTGGTTGTAAATCTTGGTTTATCATCTGGTAAGAATGTTACAACTGTTTCATTGTCAGCTTTCAACTCGATGGCAAATATCTTGGTTACATTATGACTTGTGAATGAGCATTTTATTTGTGTACCACTTTCATCTATTACTCCGGATATGTTTTGATTTATTCGCACAGTAATAGAATACGCACCTAAAAAACAAAAAAGTGCTGTTAATTAGATACCTCTATATACAATTATATAATTTCATTAATTCGTGTAATTTCTATGTTAGTTTCACACTACTCATTTCATTGGCATGGCACAAAAAGGTCCATAGAAATAGAATCGGGATACATTTCCGTTTGATATCGGACTTTTGTCATATTTTCGAATGTGATGATTTCTTAACAATTATGACAATTTTGTATCCTCCGTATGTCTACCTTGTGGTTTGTGATAATTATAAGTCAACATATGTGTGATTTGTTTATTAAAAGGTGTAATTCGATTTACAGGAGACGCTAAACTTTAAATATAAATGACCTGGCATGAAAATAACATTGCTTCGATTATTTTTGTCAACCAAAGAAACTAAACAGTAAAGAAAACTAATCTTTCAAGAACAGTTCCATTATTTGTTGGTATAAACTTTTTCTTCAATGTTCCTGGTAAAACGGTTGAACAAAATTTGCCACGAGAATATGTTAAAACCACGGATAATGCATGAAATGTATTACTCCGCATCCTTATATCTAAACAGTCATTTATATAGGTCTACCTACTTGAGGGAAACTATTTTCAATGAAGCATTTTTTCTAAGAAACAGAGTTTTAAGAGAAAGGTAGGCGATTGTGTTATTAAACTTTCATCACATTACTCGTATTAACATAGAACTTTAAAATAAATAAGATTCCTAATGCATTTTGCAAAAAAGAGTAAATGCTGATGTTGTGGTAAATCACATTAGTCGCTATGATACATGTAATAACTGCATTTAAACAATGACAATTGAGATCACACCTTAAAGTCTTCCGTACACGATTTTCATTTTATTAGATGATATTTTCAAGTAAAACTTGTAAATTTGTGGTTTCTTCAAAACTGAATAACTTATCCCTTAAGAAGAATAATTATTTTTGATTTGTTGCAACACGACATTTACCAGGCAAATGACTTATAAGAATTTTGGTAAAAAGTTGACTGCGAGACATGATCTTTTAACTACAAGTTTATGTAATACAGACTACTGTAGTGTTTTTTCCAATTGCAGCATCTGTTCTGTTAATTTTTTTTGGGGGGAAAATAATTTCATTTCTATCATTTCTTACTCATTTCATAGACATTATGTATACACAATACGTGAAAACAAATAAGTCATCAAACTCTTGAACAGCTAAAGTATATATTTGTATTCCGTCATACAAATGTAAAAGTATTTTTTTAATAAACAAAGCCGATAAAAAAGGAACACCTTATGTTAAATGATGAAGCATTATAAGAAAGACCTTATTAGTTGTGGTAATACTTCTATTAATAGACATATATCTGTGTAAAATTAAAAGTTATTTCATATAGTTACATTTATATCATCAAAAAAGTTATCAGAAGATCAACTTTAAAGCGTGTTTCTTCAATGCACTTTATTACAGTCACATTGTAATTTCGAAGAGAAGTTTTGAAATAATAACATATTGAATCAATTAAAATATATTTTCTATTAATTTATTTTCATTTGAATCCAACTTTGTAAAAACTTCTATTTAGTTTTAAAAAGGTGTCATTTATATATATTTTCGTATTTGCAGACTAATGTAAACATTTGGATAGCAAGCGATGACAGAACTCACCACTAATACCTCTTACAACAATAAACCACATTAACAACAAACACCTCTTTTTCCGAAAAAGACAGACAAAAACAATAAACAACGGATAAGACATCATTCAGATAGCCCAGTAAATATATCAATCACAAATATCTGTTAACTCTGTCCCGTACCTGACCAGTTAGGATTCGATGCTGGTTTTTAAATGTAATGTCTTTACCAAATTTTATGTAATCTAGACAGGTTGGTTCATTGATAACAGATGGCAAGCAACGTACCGATTTTTGAAGTTTGAAAAAAACTTTCGCTATATTTAGCTGATTATGTATATATCTAATGAAAGTAAACAAAAAATGGACACTTACCATGTATCTGGCTTATTATTATAATACTCAAAGTTACAACACATTTGATCAGATCCATTGTCATTTTGCCTTTGTTTAATAAGTACTAATATAATTAAATATGAAAGTTAAGATTTATTTATATATACATGTATACATCTTTCTGATTAAAAATAGATAACGTAAGTATCATAATTATATTTGAGAGGATTTACCACTCATTGTAAATATTACTGAAGATATATTTTTAGGAATTGGGGAATTTCGTGTATTTTCTTTTTAGTTAGCAACATATGATTACTGCGAGTGCGCTTTTCTTTAAAAGTTTGTTCCTGTAATATTTTCTAAAAGAAACAATAACTTTTAAAAAATCAGAATCTGTTTTATCTACGATATAAGACCTTTACCGTTAATCGCCGTAAATAGATGTTCGTTAAACATAACACTAATATTTAGGTTAATTTATATACGTTTTTTGTGTAAATAGCTATACAAATGGAAATTTATTGGTTTTATTGTTATGAAATTTTGTAAATCATGTTAATCGGAAGTTTGAAGCAAAATCATTTCGTGAAGCAAAGGTGATTTTTCATTTTCTAGGTCAACTGAAACTGATATCACACAAACAATCCTAACGTTACTACGATGTCCTTCAGTGTGGTTAATTTCTATAACATGTAATAAAGAGGGGCGAAAGATATCAAAGGGACATTCAAATTCATAAGTCGAAAATAAACTGACAACGTCATGGCTAAAAATGAAAAATACCAACAGACAAACAACAGTTCACAAAACACAACATAAAAAACTTACGACTGAGCAACACGAACCGCACTAAAAACTAGTGTAATCGCAGGTGCTCCGGAAGAGTAACCAGATCCTGCTCCACATGTGGCACACGTCGTGTTGATCATGTTAGGACGAACTAAAGACTGAGCAACACGAACGCCACCAAAAAAAACGTTAGTGTTAATGAATCATTGAAAACATCTTATGATCCTTAAAAACAGAACAATCTATTTGGTATACGTGAATCAGGCATAAACCTTACATTTTGCCTGTCAGTAAGCGGTTACAATACCCTGGAGACGTTAAAAAAAAATCCGATGAAGAACCATAGTCAGAGAAAACTAACAATAGCATGGCCAACATAAAGAAAAGACAAATCACATTCACAAAAACAGTACATATTGAGCAGCACCTAATGCTGGTGGCTAAAAACTAAGGTCAAATGTATTTTATACCAATTTGACAGAGGCCATTTTTGACTGTCTTGATCAGATAATTCATTGTTCTTAAGCACAACGACATTCTATATATCTAGTTTTACATATATAGCCTTAGCTTTCTATATTGTGATGTTACATTATTGTTTCAGGTTAGGGTGAAGGTTGGCGCCTATTAAAACGTTTAAACCCGCTGCATGTTTTTGCACCTGTCCTAAGTCAGGAACCTGATGTTCAGTGGTTGCCGTTTGTTGATGTGGTTCAAAAGTGTTTCTCATTTCTCGTTTTTTATATAGATTAGACCGTTGGTTTTTCCTGTTTGAATACACTAGTCATTTTTGGGGCCCTTTATAGCTTGCTGTTCGGTGTGAGCCAAGGCTCCGTGTTGAATGCCGTACTTTGACCTATAATGGTTTACTTTTACAAATTGTGACTTGGATGGAGAATTGTCTCATTGGCACTCATACCACATCTTCTTATATCTATTAGCATTTGCCACAACTTACCAAACATTCGTGTGTTCAATGCTCTGAATTAAACAGCATATCCGATTTGACCTTCGAACTCTATTGATTTGCGCTCCATTGATGAATCAAATGTAGCCGAAATGCGCGTTTGGCGTACCAAATTATACGACTGCTAATTTGATGATCGGTGAGTTTTTTTTTTTTAGTGTACATGAACAAAGGTTTATCCTTTCATAAACATTATGCATGCTGATGGAAAGTAGTTTTTGTTTTATAATGTACATCCTGTTAAAATTATAAACAAAGGTAAGTCGGTCACCAGACCGTTACATACATTTTTTGTACATGTATATGTTTTTTAAACCTTTCGGAAGCGTACATTAGGATTTAGGAAAAGCAGTATCATGTTTATCTTTATTTTTTGTGGTTTTTTTTCTTGGTAAGGGGGAGGGGGTGTGGAGGGAAATTGGTTTGTTTGGAGAATATCAGCTTAATGTGACAATAGAGCGAACGGATCCAGCGCAGCAAACAAATGTAGAAAAAAAAATCTGATATATAGCAAGACGCTAAATCCTTTTGCAATGAAAATTGTAATCAGAATAATACATGCTTTATCGTCTCTAGGAGCGCTCAAGCGTGAAATATTGAAGCAAATATAAAAGAATTCCATCAAATAGAAAATAGTTTTTCTTGAATAAAGGTGAATTTTTTTTCTGAATAGAGTGAGTCTGACGACGGCTATAATTCGTTCAACAAATCTAGATCCTACATCCGTGGAAAAATGTCCCATACATTGGGTCTCTAGCGTTTTCCGTGATGATTATTCCTGTACAACTGATCTCCCTTTAATGATGAATACTAATCGGAGTTTTCAATTGCTATACATTATCATTTTATTAGTATTCACATTATTTTTATTGGTTTCAACTGCAATGTTTTCAAATTTGTATCTCCAGTTCGTAAATGCATCTTTGTTTTCAATATAACGGTTAAAATAAAAATTCATTTTCATATACAAAATACAATTTTAATGGGGAGGAGAGGTGTTTCGTTAACAATTACTGTTTATTTAGAATTTTGAATATTGATAAAAGATATAACCAATTTCCATAGCTAGTAACATTTTTTTCATTATTCCTTTCCAAAGTTACCAAATCTTATATGCATCTGAAAAAGCTTCTGATATTTACTTTGGATGTAATGTACAAACGAGCTTTTTTATCATTAATAATTATTTAAAAGTTAAAATTGAAATGAATTCTAGAACTGAGAATGGAAAAGGGAAATGTGTCAAAGAGACAACAACCCGACCGAAGAGCAGAAAACAGCCCAATGCAACCAATGGGTCTTCAACGCAACGAGAAAATTCTACACCTGGAGGCGGGATTCAGCTGGCCCCTAAAGAATAATGTATACTAGTACACCGTAATGAACGCCACACTAAACTTTGAAATATATAAATGAACCAAAATTTAAAAAAAAACACAAAACTAACAAAGGCTAGAGATTCCTGACTTGGGACAGGCGCATGATTTTGGCGGGGTTAAACATGTTTTGTGAGATCTCAATCCTCCCCTATACCTCTAGCCAATGTTGAATAAACAAACACACATTATACTTATGTTCAGAGTAATTTATTCTGTAAGGCCTAATTATTTCACCGTAACTTTATTTTCAGTGATGTTCAAGCACTTAATTATCTACAAAATTCAAAAGCCTATTACAATAGTTGACGAGATCATTAAACCTAAAAAGACCAACATTGTATCCAAATGCTAATAAGGAATCAGAGCTATTGCACGAGGGAGACATATTCTTTGATTTAAGATATTTTCATAATAGTAAATCACAATATCTGTATTTTGGTAAAGTGATAAATTTAAAAACATTTGGGTACATTATACATGTTAAATCACTACCCCACTTCAAAAAAAGGGGAACGTTCCTTACAATATAAGGTAAAGTGTGCGATTTTAAAAATATCTTCCATGAAAATGACTAAAAGGTTTTTCCATGACACATACATCACTTCTTTGATGTTTTATATTACTAGCTATAATATTTAAAAACTACAAAGGCATTAACAACATTGTGAATCTAAAAGAATATGGTTAAATAAATTGTTCGTACCCCAAAATAAGAATAACATCACAGCATTGGTTATTTCCATTGATTATGACGTTTTTAACCAATCACGACGTTTTAGTGTACGCTTTTGAAAATATTACCAATTATGCATTAGATTCTAAAACGGCTAATTATAATTATAGCTAAGATGGTTATTGACAAAGATATAATTAGATTTAGGAATCTTTTGTAAACATATGCATCGAAACGTGACATGGATTTTCCATTAATATGCACTTATATACAAGTGTTTGAAAGAAAGTGGAAAACATGATATGCATTAGATATCCTTACAGGATGTTTGACATAAAACATGAAATTTAATAATTATAGGTTGCAATTCTGTAAATACAGACAATGCAATTTCCCATAGGAACTCCCTTTGCGGCTAAAACTGTGACACTTTTACTATGAAGTTTCGTGAAAAATAATATCCCAGAACGGAAAGTTTATATGCACTACTATTTTATTCAAAGGTCAAAATATAGGGCTGTGCGGCATATTTTCAACATTTATATGCCTTGAACTTCTAAGAGTTTAAACTTATACTAAAATTCTATACTACCCTTACCTCCATTTTTGGACCTCCTAAGAATTAAAATTTAGCCGCTACCATGTTTTTCTATACTGGTTACATTCCAAAGTGATGTCTCTATGAGATGAAACACAGAGATCATCAATGGGAACCAGTACGTTAACAAATTAACATACCTATGAATATTAAATATCTCCCCAAAAGAGGCGTGGTTTGAGAAACAGCTGTATTTACAAAGTGCAACCTATACAAACATTTATTCAAATAGAAAACTCTCTAAAAACACTTTTTCTCACAACAATACTTATTTATCAGAATTATAGCCTTAAAGAAATCACTTCATATACTCTAAGTCTCCTTTTACAGTACATTTTATACCCCTACCCCTGTTTCAATTTTTTAAAGATTTTGAAAACAAGACTCTAATTATTGCCAGCTTACCCTATGTGCATGTTTTCTGACATGAACTGTCTAAAACCTGTTTGAAACTATTCTGATAACAAATTGAAAGCATTTTAGAATACTATAAATGTATTGTTTATTAGTTAAGCATTGCAACATTCAAGATTATACAAAGTATCCAATCCTGCCTGTGTCTCCAGTCCACATCTTACTGTATGCCTATTTGTCAATGAAAGTTCACAATTTCTGCCTCAAATGGTCAGTTTAGAATTCTTGTCACAACAGTATCATCCCTAACCATATATCTAACATAAGTAAGTTAATATATGTCCTAGAAGTATTTAAACAAAGCCATATTTGCAAAAGTTGTATTTATGAAGATATCAGTCTGGTGCATAAATTCACTAAAAGTTTGATTGAAATGACTGCTTACATCTGATTTTTGCATAACTTCCTAGCACAGTTATTGTTTACTTTATAAAAGACCTTTAAAATAAAAAAATCATAGCATTTACAAGTTAAATTATCTGTTTTATGACTCAGGGGTAGGCATTTTTCTCTGTTTTTTGCCCCTGGGGCCTCACATTTCCTATTTTTTTTCCCTGTTTCTAGCAATGTGGAATATTTACTACATATTTAGGATAGAACACACTATTGTAAGTTTTACTGAGGTCTTTTTGTAATTCTAGCTTGTACTTTTTTATGCCGCAGTCACAAAAAAGCACATTTAGGCGTTACGGCTTACTTTTGGGTTATCGACAGGACAAAAACACCCCACCAGAAATATTTAGGAAGGATCAATGAGTTGCAATTACTGCGAAGAGTAAATATAAGCACTTCTAAACAATTTAAATTACAAATAGGCATATATTATGAATTTATTTTGAATTCAGGGCTTTAAGTAAACCATGCATACTGTAAACTGTGAATTTATGCTGAGTCATCATAGTTAAGGCCCAGGATATTCTCAATCTTCATGAAATATTTATAAAACTTCATATTTGAGTTAAATTCTTTAAAATCTCTGAGATAAACCAGATTTTGTGAAATTCTGTATGTTCTATTTTTTAACCCTATATAGGTTGCAATTCTGTAAATACAGACAATGCAATTTCCCATAGGAACTCCCTTTGCGGCTAAAACTGTGACACTTTTACTATGAAGTTTCGTGAAAAATAATATCAGAACGGAAAGTTTATATGCACTACTATTTTATTCAAAGGTCAAAATATAGGGCTGTGCGGCATATTTTCAACATTTATATGCCCTGAACTTCTAAGAGTTTAAACTTATACTAAAATTCTATACTACCCTTACCTCCATTTTTGGACCTCCTAAGAATTAAAATTTAGCCGCTACCATGTTTTTCTATACTGGTTACATTCCAAAGTGATGTCTCTATGAGATGAAACACAGAGATCATCAATGGGAACCAGTACGTTAACAAATTAACATACCTATGAATATTAAATATCTCCCCAAAAGAGGCGTGGTTTGAGAAACAGCTGTATTTACAAAGTGCAACCTATAGTGCTATCGATTAAGAATGACTTTCCGATATACATATATATGTTCTATGTATGTAATGTTTCGTGTAACTAAATATTTCTGTAAGATATGAATCACTGTATATTTATACATTTCCATGGACAACATCTAACGTTGACTAAACTCAAGATGTGTAATGTTACACATATAATCTTTAACGAAATCACATGTTGAAATGACCTTTGTTCACGTAATCTGAAAGAAATACAATTAATAACTATACCAAGTGTTATTTCCTTTGTTATTATCTATAAATAATAAGTAAAACAAATGAAATGTAATGATTTGGAATAAACTTGTCTGATGAATTAAACTTCTTTTAAGCTGTGTTTTAAGACCATTAACCGAATAGAAACCTTCTCCAAAAGTGTTGTTACAATAAGACGACCCTCTTCTGTCCATTCATATAAGAAGTGGTTCTGACATTAAGATATTGATGGACTGAATTTGTAACAGTTACTATATGTCAATAGTTTGTTTGTTTGTTTGTTTTGTTTTTTGGTTTTGTTTTTTGGTTTGTTTGTTTTTTGTTTTTTTTTCTGTTTGTTTGGGGTATTCTTTGGGGGAGGTATTTTTCAATACTGTGGTGTTTTTTTTTTTAATACAAATTTTTCGATACCTGTGAC